GGATTGAGTAATTGATTCCAAAATTCAGTTAAAAATAAAGAAAGTGTTCATAATCATGGTAGCTTATGAATTAAGATTAAGATCGATTCACATCTAGTTTTTATCATGACCTTGATCGAGACATGAAAAGTAATTTAGTGAGGTTGCTATTCCATTCCTAACACAATTAAGACTGGCATAGACTTCAGATTATACATTACAATATTTAAAATATTTATATTTTTGAAGTTGAGTGGTACTCTACATATGTGATAAAACAATATGTCATTTTTGTACCTAAGCGTGAGTTTTCTCACATGCATACACTAACGAAAATGTAGTTACAACAAGGATTTGATCATAACAATATCTTCAATTTCTTTAGGAATAACATTGAGACATGTTAAGATTCAGTGGCGGATTTAAGTACAGCTCAGTGGGGCTACCGCCCCCACTCAATTTTTTTTTAAAAAAATATTACCTTTAAAAATTTTTACATTTTACACTTAAACCCCCATTAAAATAATATATGTCCTCACTAAAATAAATATATTTTCTTATATGCTCCCCATTAAGATAATTTGTTTAAAAAAATCTAATGTAAACCCCTATTAAAGTGAAAGGTTGGCTCCGATAAGCAAACCATTAGTATATACCACAATCACATGACCGGCCGACTAAGTACGTAAACAAATAAAAACTAATTTTAGGTCACATTGGTCCAAATGCATAACTAACGCGACGGTTTTATTAGGTACGCATTATATACGGTTGTTGCCACTTTTGTTGACTTCAATTTCATTTTCAAATTTTGTTGACTCCCTTACTCAACGAACTACATTACGTCCACATTATGTAGATTGTAGAGAAGGGTGCAGAAGAGGGCAATCTCATTTGCTAGTTGCCACAAAGTAAGGCTTGATTGTAGGAAATAAACTACTAAGAGACTCATGATTGAGTTCTGCAAATTGGCGTATCCAAGTGGATTAAATTTGGATAATAGGACCATACAATTGATCATTACCCATTGACCTCTGCATATTATTTCTTAATTTATCATTAGTATTACTAATGAGAACCCCAATATGTAATATAATATATAAAGATATTAATAAAGTATGTAGAACTAAATTGGAATAGGGTTCAATCCCATGTTGTTTTTTGTTCATAAACGGTATTACCACACGGGATCTGACTTAAATCCCAATTGGATAACTTGGACTTGTCCGGATTGAGCTCATGAGGGATCCAATCACATGCCATCCATGTGGGTGAGAACTGAGAAGGAAGATAAGCATATATATCATATATGAACCAATGGGCATGTGGGTTGGAGGAAAACTTGGCAAAGGAGACAAGTCAATTGGACCCCACCAAATATCTCCTTATTGTATGCATCCATTCCTATCCTTATCCATGATATTTCCTATCCTTGTGATGATCCTCTAAAAAAATCAATCTAAAACAAACAAAAAATAAAAAATAAAAAAACCATTATACATCATCTAGTTTGTCAATTTTGGGGGCACCAGCCCATGGATTGTGACCTAGAAAAATAAAAATAAAAATAAAAATTCTGCTATAGACTCCAAATATAATTATTTATATACATGGGCACCGTCAGATTCGAAAATTGAGATCCAAAGGTTTGATAAGCAGGGATATATCATATATTTGCTCAGACTTTAATTTCACTAGCGGGCTCGACTGATACAGCTCAAGACCAAATTTATGCAGTTGTTCCACTGTTGGGTTACAAAAGCTTATTGCAGGACTGATTTTCTGGAATAAAGTGTTGCACTTTGGTGTAAGTGGATAGGGACTTTAAAGTCAGTTTTTTGACTAAGAGAAAAGGGGGAAAATAAAAAAAAATAAAAAAAAAAAAAAGTCATGGCACGAAATAAACATAGCTTATAATATGCGTGTGTGAAACTGGTTTATGATGTATACTCCATTCCCGGTTTTCAGATTATGTGATATGGACAGAGTTCAAATGGTAGGCTACATTTAAGGAAATAAATGACTGGGCAACAAACAATGAAAACTTTTTTAGTCTTTAGGTTTGAATGTGGGCACATCTTATTATAAGGTCTTTAATTTGGGGCCAATTTGAGAAGTGGGTGCACCTACTTTGAAGCTACCCACATGCATTGCAATAGATGCACAAATTGTACAATGTTTTTTTCTTCAAAAAAAAAGAAAGAAAAAACAGAATTTTCTCATTGTTAATCATTATAAATACATAGAGGCATAAATTGAATGATTGAAGCTACAAAAGCTATGTCTCCTCCTCTGATTAGGGTTGGCCCCTTTTCTACCAATAAGCAGTTGCAGAATTTGCACGGTAGTTGAAAGAAATATATCATTTGGGATAATTAAAATGAAAAAAGAACAATATTGTAAATAAGTTAATATTAAAATTAATTGCTTTTTATTTACTCTTAAGTTTTTTTGCTGAATAAAAAAAAATATGGTGGTATACTTTATGTCTCTTAGTCTCTTCGGCTATAACAGTAATTTCGGGGACCACTGAGTATGTGAAAAGAGCATAAATTAGTATTCTACTGACTATCTAACTAGTTTTCACTCCCCTTTATCGTGTGAAGCCCGCGGATGCCTTCTTAATCTCCCACAAGAGCAGGGTAGTAATGCGCGTGTGCAGAGTATTAAACCCTACAAAGATAAACATAGTATACCTAATAAAAACGTCTTTACCACAACACTACGACCGCCGGTGGTATTTAAACCCTAAGTTGAAGGGGTGCTTTTGCTTTTTGGTCAAAATAAATAAATTCCTCGTTCCCTCAATTGTCGGGTAGAACTAGAAGGTGGATCAGTAAAATGATATGTTAAGACTAAGAGGGCTACAAAGGAGATGGGCGACAAGGAATATCAAGTGCTTTAATAATTAAAGGAGAAGCAGTTGACAGTTGAAGATATCATAAATTAGCAACATGAAGTTTAAGAATTAAGATATCAACTGAAAAAGCGCATAGAGAGAGAGAGGAAAAAAAAATTAACACAAAAATTCCAATCAAGAATTAAAAGTTGTTTTTATTCTTTTTGAATGTCATTTTTTATGTTATAACCTAAATCTGGTCAGGTATTGATGAATGATTAACTACAGAAATTTTAACTAGTGTTTCACTTTGTTAATTGTAGTTAGTTTCTTTGCCTAGAGAAGAAACTAAAGCGTATGAGTAAGGTTACAATCTATCTCACTGTTTTGAGATGCATGCACAGCTTAAATCTTAGTCATTGAATGAGGCTTAAAATAATCTCATCTGTAATACTTTTACAGATTTTATAATGTGACTGTTGACAGCCCTTTTTTTCAACGGCTTAGAATTTTTTTTTTCTCATCATTCAATTGCAAAAAAAAAGGGGTGTATATACATTCCAGAATTTTGGAATGTACTGCAAAATAGAACATGATAATATCAATTTTCCTTAGACAGCAGAATAAAACTTCAAGCAAACTAGCCAACAATTTAAGTATATAAAATTAGGCCAATATTTCAGTCTTTCATAAAGGACTATCCTGTATTGTAACATGTAAAAATAAAAGGGTGTGACGCTATATTAATTATACCAACGAATCACTAAAGAAGAACCAAAGTTTTAATATTACAAACAAAGTTTAAGGTGAAATGGGAACTTTAATATGGTAAATCTATACGTAATGATCTTTCATAAATTAAGAGCATTAAGAAAATAAGGTTTGTGTAAAAACTCGCATGCAAATATGATAATCAAAAAACCTTGTCGGGTCTTTATCAGGGTTGGTTGAAAACATAGGGACCATATTATATGCTAAAGAAGCAAACCAATTGATGTGATGAATCTCTTCATGCCTCTCGCACAAATTCTTGTCAAACTTTACAGCAACCTCCATGAGAGAGAGAGAGAGAGAGAGAGGCTTTAAGTTTCTAATAAAGCAAGCAAAAATGGGCACACAATATACCTACTACTCAACTTTTCTTTTGTTCCAAACTGGGTACCAATATCACTATATCAGTCCCAAGTCAAAAATGATACTTTTATTTACAAAAGGCAAAGTTCGCTCAGATTTTCTTCTTTGCAATATATTCCCCCACTTAAAAAAAAGGCTGGCTGAAAGAACAACTACCATAACGACCGACTTAACTACCCCTTATGAACCCCCATCAACGGTAGAAGATTCTAGTCCTAAAAGCAAAAACTTGCAGGGAAACTGTTTTAGGGGACTTTGGCGTGACTTTAAAGGATAAACAATGAATTGATAGTTACCATCCCTTATTATTACCTGCCCGCATGCATGGGAAAGACAAAGTCTAGACTAAAGCAAGAAAACCGATATTTCAATTTTCCCTGACCAGAACTTTAAACATTAGCTTCGAATGTGAGACAAATATTGGGGGGTCAACACTTCCTTTATTCACCAACCCTACCTAGAGCCTTGTTTTGAAACAAAAATCCCATCCAGCTAAAACCAAATAATTAGGGAGGATATGAACTCTCGGGTACTATCTCAAGTCAGTTTTCATGGGTGAGTTGTACTCATGAATGAAGATGGTAAGAAAAATGATATAAGGCGCATCAGTGGCACCTAATACCACAACTCACATAGGGGTAGGTTTCACAGTTACCTCGCGTGAGTCGGTCCTTGTGCCAAGTGTCATGATCCCCAATAAACAGTTTGAAAGGTTAGCCCTAAACCATTTAAGAACGTACCATGTGACCAATGTGTATGCCCTAATTTCTAAAGCTGGTAGTGGATGAATGAATACATAAGAACTTATTTTGCCTACCAACATGAGTGAAAAGTCCATAACAGCTTTTTTGGGTTTGAATGCAGGCATTTTGAGTCCATTCTAACATTGGGCCTCAAGGCCAACCTAGCTCAAATTGGATCTATTTTGGTCTATAATATGAAGTTTGATTGGGCTTGCATACAGTCATACAAAGAAAATGGGCTGCGAGGATACTACTAGAACCAATAATACAGAGCTAAAGGGCGTTGAGAACATTGCAAGAAAGAATAATGAATATGACAACTACTGCTTTGTAGGTACATAGGAAAGAAATTATGTCTGCAGAAATTTAAGGATGAATCATGTACATACAACAGGTGGTTCAATTAAAATGAGACGGGCGCAAGAAACCTTATGTCATGTCCGGTTTATATGCGTATGTTTAACTGCAATGCTGACGGCACCAGTCCTGAACCTGAACCTGTGAAGGGTTACTATCTGGTAACTGAAAAATGCTGCTTCTTCCATTGCTTTGGCATGTCATGTTCATCTGAGTTTTGGTTTGAGTCATCTGCAACAACATCGATTAGTACGAGGAAATATAAAAGACTCCAATGTCTCACTCTCAATTTTTGATCACCCAGAAAAATCCATCTTTTGTTGTCTCTTTTGTTGTCCCACTTTACATTGTCCTACTGCCTCAGAAAAATTTTAATGGAAAAACGACTCAAAAGGTAAAAGCATAAAAAAATTAACTGAGGGGAACAAGCCAGATTGAGGAATGCGGGTTTGGCCACAGCTGCCATGATGTATCTAGTTATATGATTTATGCAAAAATTTGAGCAAAATGAAAGAGACCAAAGAGCAGTAAGGAATTCTGTGATATAGTGGCATAGTGCAATGCCTCTGTTCTTTATTTCCTGACATCGCGTACTTCTTCACTTTTCAGATGTTCTACTATTTCCAATATTTCATTCAGCACCCACAACCACAAGACCATAGCTGACAAGGAGCTCAAAATAAGTATATTCGACAACATAAGTAGGAGCCACATAAAACCTCTTAAGGAGGGGGAAAAAAGAAAAAGTAGCAGCACAAAGATCGGTTACCTCACAAACACCTCGCTGTGAGTTGCAACTCCAATGTGAAAAAGGAACACAACTTAGATAGTGACACCAGGAACAATGATCATTTAAATCAACCCCTTGAAGGAGCATAATCAGCCCAAGAATAAATCTGGAAGATTACAAAAAATCAGTTTAGAAAAGTTTCTCTTTAGTGATACTCGGCAGGCGATAATAGATTAATGTGAATTGGTATCATTACTATGATCAATTAAAGCAATGAAACAATCTATAATCAAACATGAACTTCCTAATCTCTAGCATGTGAAAAAATAGGCCATGCCTTGTGATTTTGGCGAGTTTGGTGAGATGTATTCAAAGTCAATGTGCTTTTTCAGAAAAGGAGCCGGTGAACTTACCCAAGAAGCAACAAAACCAGAGAGATAATCCACAGTGCATATTGATATGTCTTGTGTTTAGTAACCGAAGTAACTCTATGGCCTGAGGAAGCATATTTTTGGCTAATCCATCTAAATTGGGGACGTATCAAAAATACGAATCCAAGAAGAAATCCAGAAACAAATCCTCCGATATGAGCAAAGTTGTCAACGTGTGGGAGGACTCCCACTGCTAAATTTAATACAATGATGACAATGAGAGTGATCAATGCTGCTAACTGCAAATGAAATTTGAAAATGTAAGATAATATATTTACAGGCAAGTCCAAGCAAGTAAGAATAACAATTATGGAGCAGTTTAATTTACCTTATTTGCATATATAGTCCAATTTGTGATGAGCTCTGAAAGCATACTTCCTAATAGACCAAAAAGTGCACCTGAGGCACCAACGGATATACCACTTTGAATAAAAAGAGCTGACAGTAAACTCCCGCCGAAACCGGATAAGACATAAAGCAAACCGATTCTAACTGCAGAACAAAAATGGTATTTCAAACAACAAAGTCAATATAAATGTCTACCAAGTATGCAAGAATTTATCATTCACACAAGGGGAGGCTTTCCTTTCTTTTCACAATAATGCAAAAAGCAAAATTCTTCCTTTTTCAAAACTCTGGGATATTAAACATTCAAATTCAAATTGAATGAGCATACCTCTATCAGTAATCACATCGGCCGGGAAAAATGGGAGAAAAATGAGTAATTGCTCCAAAAAGTTTTAGATATTACATCTTAATTGACTATAAAATGGACCTCCAACATGGAGAATTTTGAAGATGGAAAGCTTAAATACATCTGATATATGCACAGCGATACATGAAGAAGAGAAACAAGATGCGAACCAAACCCAAATTCTTGCTCAAGTCGAATACCAATGAAAAGAAGACTTAAGATATTGGCAAGTACATGGAAAACTCCAGCATGTAACCATATACAAGAGATCAGGCGCCATGCCTGGTATCTATGGACCACTTTATACACTTGTAGAGCACCCATCTTCACCAATCTGAAGAGAAGAGATAAAAAGGAATTAAACGTGTAACTTTGTAAATGCGGCTAAAGACCAATTGACACAGATCAAAAGAAGATAGATAAAACTTAAATTCTATTTCAGCAGATACAGGTTTTTAGCATGCATGCCATAATGTGTTGTTGAACAGCCTGCGGATAAATCAGTGGATAATATCAAAGGACACGGGCCACTGATTATACAAGAAATAACCAAAACAGCATGGTGATGTCATAGGGCTTGCAAAGTGATCCCTTAGAAATAATCTGGATTTCATGCTATTCTTATTAAAGAAATCGAAATTACATTGAATCGAAGTCCAAGTCTGATAAGTATAACTAACGTGTGACAACAATCAAATAGAGCAAAATAGCAGTTCCCAGTGAAAGCATTCAAAGAGGGTTGAATAGGAGACATAAAAGTGACTTTCTGTATGCATAAAGTATATGGACTTTTAACATATGAAAAGTTAAGAACTTTTGGTGTATAATGAAGAATGAATGAAAGAAAGAATTATTTCTTGTCAACGTGTACTACATGAAACGAAGACTGAAGCAAAATCATATAAAAAATTTTACCGTACTCTCTAGCAAAAAAGAAAAACATGCGGATTATATTTTACATTCTTATGGTTGGAGAGCTTCATAATCAAAATGACAAGTCCCAAAATTCTCCTACTTCTGCCCTTCTTCCAATCTTTAACTTTCAAAACTGATCAAAGTTTCTTATGTACGGTATTTTACCAGAATGCCAGATTTGAACAGTTCAGAGTTTAAACTGTCTTCTCAAATATCAAATAAGTAACCAAATTGCCATGAACAGATTACAACTGAAAAAGTCTCCAATATCTTCAACTAATATCTTGAATTATACATATTATCTATAGCTCCTTCGGAGCTACATTATTTCCATCCCACTTCTTGTTCCACCAAAAAATGAAAAAGTCCGTGGCGCCTCTGTGATGATTCTCCCTAACTAGTATTTTTGTAACATTAATCTAAAACAACAAAAGTTTAAACACGGATCAAAAAAACATAAAAACGCATTTCAAACAAGCCCAAATCACAACAACAAAATTCCTTCCATTAGCTCAAACTAACTCAATCACCAACCTCCCAAATAAATTTTCCCAATAACCCATTACACCAAACCGCATAAAACATCATATAATACGCATGTGTTATATATATATATATAGAGAGAGAGAGAGAGAGAGAGCCCCACCGGAGGGTCACTGTTGTCGCCGCGCCGCGGATGGACCTTAATCTCTACGGTGCCCGCCGGCGCTGGGCGGCCTCTCTCCATCGTGACCGTTGATTTAGAAGAAAATGTTTCTTCGATTAGTGATTTTAAAATCTAATAATTAACTAATCTCCAAAAAACACACATTTTTGGACTCCAATAATCCCATATTGTCTTTATTTTCTTTAGGTGCATGGGAAAATGGAAATCATGGCCTTAATAAAGCTAGTTCTTATTTGTTTATTTTATTACTATTATTATTATTATGTTTCTTTCAGTTTTTTTGCTTGGTTTTGGAGGGGAACGTCTTAACAGCTAAAGCGGTTAAATGTTTTTTTTTAGAGCTTAAAAAAAAAGTTGGTTGATTTCTATTTTAAGTGGTTAGATCTTTATTAAAAATTAATTTTTATATATTTTTATAATTTAATATGATTTTAATTTGATATAATAATAATAAAATGATATTACTAATAGGACTGTTTTATTAAAGAAACTCTTTTCTTTTATTGGTTATGGGGATTTGTTTTGTTTTGCAAAACAAACAGACACAGTTCAATAGGTTTTTATTATACTTTGAGAAACATATTGTCTTTTTAAAAAAAAAAAAAAAAAGCGTGCTATTATACTTCTTAGACGCTATTATTGTTCTCTTTTACAATTTATTACGAACTTTTTGTTTTTCAACATGCTTATTCTGATGACATTTAGCTACCGATTGGATTTATGTAGCATAATTAAACATTAGATAATACTTGATGTTCATTCTTTTTTCTTGGAATGAGATTCTAATTAAACTAATATTAATTTGACACTTGAGCACACAAAAGGATCCATTTTGTGAAGCACAATCTACATCGTTGCAACCGTTGTTTGTTCTTTTTTTCCTTTCTTCCTGTTTACGTTAAGAACATAAACGAGCAACATTAGTTAAGAAATCAGGTGGTCAAGCCAAAAGAGAAAAGAAAAATGTAAAAGATATATTTGAAACTAAACAAAGAAAATGCCCGGATTCCAACCAAGACAGAGTTTATAAATATCCACGTTAAAATTGTTACCGTAACTCTTTCTGTCATTCTCTTTATCACTCTTCACATTAACTGTTTGATACGTAAACTCCATTAACATAATATATTATTATTTAAATAAAAAAATGAAATAATAAATTTTACGTATCAAATAATAAAAGACAAAAATAATCACGCTAACATTTCTCATACCCATATTTGCAGGAAAAAGAAAAAAATAATAATAATTGCCCTTAGAGTCGCGGGGACTTCTGGTAATATGCTTTCCGATAGAGACAGATTAAGGTAATATGCGCAAAAATGATAGTTACCATCCCTTATTATTACCTGCCCGCATGCATGGGAAAGAGAAAGTCTAGACTAAAGCAAGCAAACCAATATTTCAATTTTCCCTGACCAGAACTGTAAACATTAGCTTCGAATGTGAGACAAATATTGGGGGTCAACACTTCCTTTATTCACCAACCCTACCTAGAGCATTGTTTTTAAACAAAAATCTCATCCAGCTAAAACCAAATAATTAGGGAGGATATGAACTCTCGGGTATTATCTCAAGTCAGTTTTCATGGGTGAGTTGTACTCATGAATGAAGAAGGTAAGAAAAATAATATAAAGCGCATCAGTGGCACCTGATACCACAACTCACATAGGGGTAGGTTTCACAGTTACCTCGTGTGAGTCGGTCCTTGTGCCAAGTGTCATGATCCCCAATAAACAGTTTGAAAGGTTAGCCCTAAACCATTTAAGAACGTACCATGTGACCAATGAGTATGCCCTAATTTCTAAAGCTGGTAGTGGATGAATGAATACATAAGAACTTATTTTGCCTACCAACATGAGTGAAAAGTCCATAACAACTTTTTTGGGTTTGAATGCAAACATTTTGAGTCCATTCTAACATTGGGCCTCAAGGTCAACCTAGCGTAAATTGGATCTATTTTGGTTTATAATATGAAGTTTGATTGGGCTTGGATACAGTGATACAGAGAAAATGGGCTGCGAGGATACTACTAGAACCAATAATACAGAGCTAAAGGGCTTTTAGAACATTGCAAGAAAGAATAATGAATATGACAACTACTGCTTTGTAGGTACATAGGAAAGAAATTCTGTCTGCAGAAATTTAAGGCACATACAACAGGTGGTTCAATTAAAATGAGACGGGCGCAAGAAACCTTATGTCATGTCCGGTTTATACGCGTATGTTTAACTGCAAAGCTGACGGCACCAGTCCTGAACCTGAACCTGTGAAGGGTTGCTATCTGATAACTGAAAAATGCTGCTTCTTCCATTGCTTTGGCATGTCATGTTCATCTGATTTTTGGTTTGAGTCATCTGCAACAACATCGATTAGTACGAGGAACATATAAAAGACTCTAATGTCTCACTCTCAATTTTTGATCACCCAGAAAAATCCATCTTTTGTTGTCCCACTTTACATTGTCCTACTGCCCCAGAAAATTTTGAAGGAAAAACGACAAAAAAGGTAAAAGCATAAAAAAATTAACTAAGGGGAACAAGCCAGATTGAGGAATGCGGGTTTGGCTACAGCTGTCAAGATGTATTGTTGGCGCCAATAATCTAGGATTTGTTATTAGCTATGTTTTTATTTATTACTTTGATGTTGTAGTTAGGTAGTTCCGGATTATTAGCTTAGGAAGTTAGGTTTTTAATTTTTAAATAAACTTTGGTATATCCAGAGTATCAAGCCACCAGATTATGAGTTAGTTTTAGAGTTAGTTTCAGTCAGAGGCTTCCTAAGCCTATTTATGTACGTGAATCTCCATTCAATATTAATCATCAGAGTTTCATTCAAACCTGTTTACATATATCTAGTTATATGATTTATGCATAAATTTCAGCAAACTAAAAGAGACCAAAAGAGCAGTAAGGAATTTTGTGATATAGTGGAATAGTGCAATGCCTCTATTCTTTAATTCCTGACATCGCGTACTTCTTCACTTTTCAGATGTTCTACTATTTCCAATAATTAATTCAGCACCCACAACCACAAGACCATAGCTGACAAGGAGCTTGAAATAAGTATATTCGACGACATAAGTAGGAGCCAGATAAAACCTCCTAAGGAGGGGAAAAAAGGAAAAAAAGAAAAAGTAGCAGCGCAAAGATCGGACAAAGCAAAACTGGGTGAAGGAGATCCTGTGGACAAAGGAAGATACCAACGGTTGGTTGGTAAGCTAATCTACCTCTCACATACAAGGCCAGACATCGCGTTCGCTGTCAGTTTAGTCAGCCAATACATGCACTCAGCAAGTAGAGGACACCTTGATGCTGTGTATAGAATACTCAGGTACTTAAAGAGAACACCAGGGAAAGGACTATTTTTTGGAAAGCACAACAAGAGGAAGCTTGAAGTCTTTACCGACGCTGACTGGGCAGGTTCAGTTGAGGATAGGAAGTCCACATCTGGTTACTGTACCTTGTTGTGGGGGAACTTAGTGACCTGGCGCAGCAAAAAATAAGCTGTTGTTGCAAGAAGTAGCGCAGAAGCCAAGTATAAAGCCATGGCACACGGAATATGTGAGATCATCTGGATAAAAAGGTTGCTAGAAGAGCTGAAGATTAAAGTTGAGTTTCCAGCACACCTTTACTGTGATAATAAAGCCACCATCAGCATAGCACACAATCCAGTTCACCATGATAGGACTAAACATGTGGAAGTGGACAGACATTTTATCAAGGAGAAGTTAGAAACAAGAGTGATCAACATAGTGTATGTTCCAACGGGTCAACAAGTAGCAGACATTCTCACTAAAAGGGCTATCAAGACACACTTTCGAGTTCCTGGCAGACAAGCTTGGACTCATCAATATCTAAAGCCAAGCTTGAGGGGGAGTGTTGGCGCTAATAATCTAGGATATGTTATTACCTCTGTTTTTATTTATTACTCTGATGTTGTAGTTAGGTAGTTCCGGATTATTAGCTTAGGAAGTTAGGTTTTTAATTTTTAAATAAACTCTGGTATATCCAGAGTATCAAGCCACCAGATTAGGAGTTAGTTTTAGAGTTAGTTTCAGTCAGAGGCTTCCTAAGCCAATTTATGTACGTGAATCTCCATTCAATATTAATCATCAGAGTTTCATTCAAACCTGTTTACATGTATCTAGTTATATGATTTATGCATAAATTTCAGCAAACTAAAAGAGACCAAAAGAGCAGTAAGGAATTTTGTGATATAGTGGAATAGTGCAATGCCTCTATTCTTTAATTCCTGACATCGCGTACTTCTTCACTTTTCAGATGTTCTACTATTTCCAATAATTAATTCAGCACCCACAACCACAAGACCATAGCTGACAAGGAGCTTGAAATAAGTATATTCGACGACATAAGTAGGAGCCAGATAAAACCTCCTAAGGAGGGGAAAAAAGGAAAAAAAGAAAAAGTAGCAGCGCAAAGATCAGTTACCTCACAAAAACCTCGCTGTGAGTTGCAACTCCAATGTGAAGTAGGGACACAACTTAGATAGTGACACCAGGAACAATGATCATTTAAGTCAACCCCTTGAAGGAGCATAATCAGCCCAAGAATAAATCTGGAAGATTACAAAAAATCAGTTTAGAAAAGTTTCTCTTTAGTGATACTCGGCAGGCGATAATAGATTAATGTGAATTGGAATCATTACTTTGACCAATTAAAGCAATGAAACAATCTATAATCACACATGAACTTCCTAATCTCTAGCATGTGAAAAAATAGGCCATGCCTTGTGATTTTGGCGATTTTGGTGAGATGTATTCAAAGTCAATGCGCTTTTTCAGAAAAGGAGCCGGTGAACTTACCCAAGAAGCAACAAAACCATAGAGATAATCCACAGCGCATATTGATATGTCTTGTGTTTAGTAACCGAAGTAACTCTATGGCCTGAGGAAGCATATTTTTGGCTAATCCATCTAAATTGGGGACGTATCAAAAATACGAATCCAAGAAGAAATCCAGAAACAAATCCTCCGATATGAGCAAAGTTGTCAACGTGTGGGAGGACTCCCACTGCTAAATTTAATACAATGATGACAATGAGAGTGATCAATGCTGCTAACTGCAAATGAAATTTGAAAATGTAAGATAATATATTTACAGGCAAGTCCAAGCAAGTAAGAATAACAATTATGGAGCAGTTTAATTTACCTTATTTGCATATATAGTCCAATTTGTGATGAGCTCTGAAAGCATACTTCCTAATAGACCAAAAAGTGCACCTGAGGCACCAACGGATATACCACTTTGAATAAAAAGAGCTGACAGTAAACTCCCGCCGAAACCGGATAAGACATAAAGCAAACCGATTCTAACTGCAGAACAAAAATGGTATTTCAAACAACAAAGTTAGTATAAATGTCTACCAAGTATGCAAGAATTTATCATTCACACAAGGGGAGGCTTTCCTTTCTTTTCACAATAATGCAAAAAGCAAAATTCTTCCTTTTTCAAAACTCTGACTGGGCAGGTTCAGTTGAGGATAGGAAGTCCACATCTGGTTACTGTACCTTGTTGTGGGGGAACTTAGTGACCTGGCGCAGCAAAAAATAAGCTGTTGTTGCAAGAAGTAGCGCAGAAGCCAAGTATAAAGCCATGGCACACGGAATATGTGAGATCATCTGGATAAAAAGGTTGCTAGAAGAGCTGAAGATTAAAGTTGAGTTTCCAGCACACCTTTACTGTGATAATAAAGCCACCATCAGCATAGCACACAATCCAGTTCACCATGATAGGACTAAACATGTGGAAGTGGACAGACATTTTATCAAGGAGAAGTTAGAAACAAGAGTGATCAACATAGTGTATGTTCCAACGGGTCAACAAGTAGCAGACATTCTCACTAAAAGGGCTATCAAGACACACTTTCGAGTTCCTGGCAGACAAGCTTGGACTCATCAATATCTAAAGCCAAGCTTGAGGGGGAGTGTTGGCGCTAATAATCTAGGATATGTTATTACCTCTGTTTTTATTTATTACTCTGATGTTGTAGTTAGGTAGTTCCGGATTATTAGCTTAGGAAGTTAGGTTTTTAATTTTTAAATAAACTCTGGTATATCCAGAGTATCAAGCCACCAGATTAGGAGTTAGTTTTAGAGTTAGTTTCAGTCAGAGGCTTCCTAAGCCAATTTATGTACGTGAATCTCCATTCAATATTAATCATCAAAGTTTCATTCAAACCTGTTTACATGGTATCAGAGCAGGAACTCTGAGACTCGTTCATGGTAAAAACAGCCATGACAAGACCTGCACGAGGGGGAGCAGATGACTCCACATCGACTACCACCGATCCCTCTAGCCAAACACAGGCGGAACAAGCCTCTATCCCGACGTTTCAAGGAGACAATACTTCTCTCCAGATTACTGCGCACAAACTCAATGGCAAAAATTACCTTCAATGGTCCCAATCTGTCAAAATTGTGATCTGTGGCAGAGGAAAGTTAGGTTACATCACTAGTGAAACAAAGCCTCCAGCACAAACCGAACCAGCCTATCAAACATGGCTTGCAGAGAATTCCATCGTTCTAGCATGGGTGATCAATTCTATGGAGCCCAAGATAAGTCGCACATATCTGTTTCTCCCAACCTCTAAAGCAGTCTGGGATGCTGTGTAGAAGACCTATTCTGACTTGGGTAATGCATCTCAAGTGTTCGAACTCCGCTCAAGAATGAAAGAGATGAAGCAAGGAACTAAAACTGTCACGCAATATTTCACAGAATTGCAGAATATTTGGCAAGAACTAGATTTGTTCCTCATGGCAGATTTAGGATGTCTAGAGTGCAGCGTGAAGCAGCGACGTCTCATAGACGGGGAGCGTGTATTCGACTTTCTTGCAAGCCTCAACAAAAAACTTGATGAGGTAAGAGGCCGAGTTTTAAGCAGAGACCCCTTTCCTACCGCTGTAGAGGCTTTTTCAGATGTTCGTAGAGAAGAATGTAGGCGAAAGATTATGATGACTGATAGCCAATCAAATCAGCCAGCTTTGCTGAATCAGCAAACCACTGAAAATTCTGCACTTGCTACAAGGGGTCCTTCACAGCAAAATAGAACAAATGGTGAAACCAGAAACACACGACGAGAAAGGATGTGGTGTGATCATTGCAATCGTCCGGGACACACAAGAGACATTTGCTAGAAGATTCATGGCAAACCAGCCAACTGGACATCAAGAAGATCAAATGAAGGAAGAGGATTCCAAGCTGCAGCTAGTGGTGATGGAACAACCAATGCTTCAACAGAAGTTAAGACTGCAAGCAACAATATCCAGTTCAGCAAGGAACACCTTGAGCATCTCTATCGTCTCCTCAACCAATCGTCTCTTCAAACATCTCAATCTAGCCCTAGTGTCGGGTCTTGTTCACTGGCCCAATCTGGTAACTTCCTTTCAGCCCTTAGTGCTTCCATAAAAATTAAGGAACCTTGGATCATCGATTCAGGGGCCTCAGATCATATGACAGGTGTATCTCAATTCTTTTGCACTTATACCCCTTGTCCTGGTAATTCCAAAATAAAAATTGCAGATGGATCTTTGTGAACCATAGCTGGAATAGGATCAGTTAGGGTGTCAAAATAGTTGACTCTCAATTCTGTTTTACATGTCCCTGCCTTAAAATGCAATATTCTATCTATAAGCAAGCTCACTAGGGATAACAATTGTGTTGCTCATTTTTCTCCATCCTTGTGTCAATTTCAGGAGATATCATCAGGGAAGACGATTGGCAGTGCTAGACTTTTTGACGGACTTTATTTCCTTGAAAAAGAGAATTCCGAGTTAGGACAAGCACATGTGTCTAGTATTGAGTATAACTCTGTTCCTAGTGATAAGTTAATAATGTTGTGGCATCATAGACTTGGCCACCCTAGCTTTCCATATTTAAAGCATTTGTTTCCAATGTTGTTCAAAAATAAAGATTTGCTTTCATTTCAATGTGATATTTGTCAACTTGCAAAACACACTCGTGTTCCATACTCTCCTAGACCATATATGCCTTCTATTCCATTTGGTTTAATTCACAGCGATGTATGGGGACCCTCTAGAGTAACCACAATGTCTGGAAAGAGATGGTTTGTCACATTTATAGATGATCATACACGGGTTAGCTGGGTTTACTTGATGAAAGAAAAATCTGAGACGTGTTAAGTGTTCAAAAATTTTCACAACATGATTCAAAACCAATTTCAAACCAAAATCCGTGTATTAAGAACTGATAATGGAAAAGAATACTTTCAATCCATCCTAGGGGAATACTTAACCACAAATGGCATCATTCACCAAAGCTCTTGCATTGAGACACCACAACAAAATGGTGTCTCAGAAAGAAAAAATCGACACCTCCTAGACGTTACCCGTGCTCTCATGTTTACCATGAATGTACCTAAGTACCTATGGGGTGATGCTATTCTTACTGCCACTTTTCTCATAAACCGTGTTCCCAGCCGCACATTAAAATTCCAATCTCCAATTTCAATTCTTACCAAGGCCTATCCACATCTCCATACTCTTAACAATCTGCCACTTAAAACCTTTGGATGTACAGCCTTTGTCCATGAACACTCTGTGAACCGTAGTAAGCTAGAACCCCGAAAGGATACCGATGCTATTCTCCCATAACCAGAAAATTCTATGCATCAAGGGATGTCACTTTCTTTGAAAATAAACCATATTTTTCACCCTCTTCGCTTCAGGGGGAAAATGGTGAAATGGAAGCTCAGTTTTGGGAAACAATTGCCTTACCAATAGAAGAAGCTGTACCATCTAAAAATCTGTCTTCCTTACCACTGTCACAACAGAAAAAACCAGTCTTAGGAGCAGGGGGATACTCGGTCAGGCACACTCAACAAGAACTCTTGGTCTATTCTCGGAAAAGACTGAACCAAGGAAATAAGGAAAGCATGAATCCTATCCACTACCAAGAAACTGAACCGGTGATAGAGACTCCTTCACCTCTGAGTCCTCTAGGTAATTCAGAAAAATCTCCAAATAAAAATTCTAGTCTTGACAATCTAGATGTTCCAATTGCTCATAGAAAAGGTGTTAGGTCGTGTACATTACATCCCATCACCAAGTTTGTGTCATATAACAATTTATCTCCCTCATTCCGTGTCTTTACCACCAAGATGTCTAGTGTTGATATTCCCAGGTCCATAGAAGATGCTCTTGCTGATCCAGCTGGGAAAAAGGTAGTTATGGAAGAGATGCAAGCACTTGAGAAGAACGGTACTTGGGACTTGGTTGAACTTCCTCAAGGAAAAAACACCATGGGATGCAAATGGGTGTTCACGGTAAAATACAAACCAGATGGTGAAGTAGAAAGATACAAAGCGCGCTTGGTAGCAAAAGGATTTACACAGACCTATGGAATAGACTACACAGAAACCTTTGCTCCAGTCGCCAAGCTCAACTCAATCCGAGTTTTGCTATCTCTCGCAGCAAATTCAGATTGGCCACTGTATCAACTCGATGTGAAGAATGCTTTTCTAAATGGCAAACTAGAAGAAGAGGTGTACATGGATTTACCACCAGGATTTGACAATCACCAGAGAAGCCGAGCAGTTTGCAGATTAAAGAAGTCATTGTACGGTCTAAAACAGTCAGCACGCGCATGGTTTGATCGTTTCTCAAGGGTAATCAAGGGCCATGGATATACACAATGACAAAAGGATCACACTCTATTTGTCAAACATGCACTAGATGGAAAGACCACTGTTTTTGATAGTTTATGTAGATGACATAATTCTTACAGGTGACAATTCCAGAGAAATTGAAGAACTCAAAAGGATGATGGCAAAGGAATTCAAGGTCAAAGATCTTAGACCACTCAAATATTTTTTAGGAATGGAGATTGCTAGGAGCCAAAAAGGAATTTCTGTGTCACAGAGGAAATATGTACTGGATTTATTAAGGGAGACAGATATGCTTAGTTGCAAACCAGCGGAGACACCGGTTGATTCAGGAAATAAGGCAAAACTGGGTGAAGGAGATCCTGTGGACAAAGGAAGATACCAACAGTTGGTTGGTAAGCTAATCTGCCTCTCACATACAAGGCTAGACATCGCGTTCGCAGTCAGTTTAGTCAGCCAATACATGCACTCACCAAGTAGAGGACACCTTGATGCTGTGTATAGAATACTCAGGTACTTAAAGAGAACACCAGGGAAAGGACTATTTTTTAGAAAGCACAACAAGAGGAAGCTTGAAGTCTTTACCGACGCTGACTGGGCAGGTTCAGTTGAGGATAGGAAGTCCACATATGGTTACTGTACCTTGTTGTGGGGGAACTTAGTGACTTGGCGCAGCAAAAAACAAGCTGTTGTTGCAAGAAGTAGCGCAGAAGCCGAGTATAGAGCCATGGCACACGGAATATGTGAGATCATCTGGATAAAAAGGTTGCTAGAAGAGCTGAAGATTAAAGTTGAGTTTCCAGCACACCTTTACTGTGATAATAAAGCCACCATCAGCATAGCACACAATCCAGTTCACCATGATAGGACTAAACATGTGGAAGTGGACAGACATTTTCTCAAGGAGAAGTTAGAAACAAGAGTGATCAACATAGTGTATGTTCCAACGGGTCAACAAGTAGCAGACATTCTCACTAAAAGGGCTATCAAGACACACTTTCGAGTTCCTGGCAGACAAGCTTGGACTCATCAATATCTACAGCCAAGCTTGAGGGGGAGTGTTGGCGCCAATAATCTAGGATATGTTATTACCTCTGTTTTTATTTATTACTCTGATGTTGTAGTTAGGTAGTTCCGGATTATTAGCTTAGGAAGTTAGGTTTTTAATTTTTAAATAAACTCTGGTATATCCAGAGTATCAAGCCACCAGATTAGGAGTTAGTTTTAGAGTTAGTTTCAGTCAGAGGCTTCCTAAGCCTATTTATGTACGTGAATCTCCATTCAATATTAATCATCAGAGTTTCATTCAAACCTGTTTACATGTATCTAGTTATATGATTTATGCATAAATTTCAGCAAACTAAAAGAGACCAAAGAGCAGTGAGGAATTCTGTGATATAGTGGCATAGTGCAATGCCTCTGTTCTTTAATTCCTGACATCGCGTACTTCTTCACTTTTCAGATGTTCTACTATTTCCAATAATTAATTCAGCACCCACAACCACAAGACCATAGCTGACAAGGAGCTCGAAATAAGTATATTCGACGGCATAAGTAGGAGCCAGATAAAACCTCTTAAGGAGGGGAAAAAAGGAAAAAAAGAAAAAGTAGCAGCGCAAAGATCAGTTACCTCACAAAAACCTCGCTGTGAGTTGCAACTCCAATGTGAAGTAGGGACACAACTTAGATAGTGACACCAGGAACAATGATCATTTAAGTCAACCCCTTGAAGGAGCATAATCAGCCCAAGAATAAATCTGGAAGATTACAAAAAATCAGTTTAGAAAAGTTTCTCTTTAGTGATACTCGGCAGGCGATAATAGATTAATGTGAATTGGAATCATTACTTTGACCAATTAAAGCAATGAAACAATCTATAATCACACATGAACTTCCTAATCTCTAGCATGTGAAAAAATAGGCCATGCCTTGTGATTTTGGCGATTTTGGTGAGATGTATTCAAAGTCAATGCGCTTTTTCAGAAAAGGAGCCGGTGAACTTACCCAAGAAGCAACAAAACCATAGAGATAATCCACAGCGCATATTGATATGTCTTGTGTTTAGTAACCGAAGTAACTCTATGGCCTGAGGAAGCATATTTTTGGCTAATCCATCTAAATTGGGGACGTATCAAAAATACGAATCCAAGAAGAAATCCAGAAACAAATCCTCCGATATGAGCAAAGTTGTCAACGTGTGGGAGGACTCCCACTGCTAAATTTAATACAATGATGACAATGAGAGTGATCAATGCTGCTAACTGCAAATGAAATTTGAAAATGTAAGATAATATATTTACAGGCAAGTCCAAGCAAGTAAGAATAACAATTATGGAGCAGTTTAATTTACCTTATTTGCATATATAGTCCAATTTGTGATGAGCTCTGAAAGCATACTTCCTAATAGACCAAAAAGTGCACCTGAGGCACCAACGGATATACCACTTTGAATAAAAAGAGCTGACAGTAAACTCCCGCCGAAACCGGATAAGACATAAAGCAAACTGATTCTAACTGCAGAACAAAAATGGTATTTCAAACAACAAAGTTAGTATAAATGTCTACCAAGTATGCAAGAATTTATCATTCACACAAGGGGAGGCTTTCCTTTCTTTTCACAATAATGCAAAAAGCAAAATTCTTCCTTTTTCAAAACTCTGGGATATTAAACATTCAAATTCAAATTGAATGAGCATACCTCTATCAGTAATCACATCGGCCGGGAAAAATGGGAGAAAAATGAGTAATTGCTCCAAAAAGTTTTAGATATTACATCTTAATTGACTATAAAATGGACCTCCAACATGGAGAATTTTGAAGATGGAAAGCGTAAATATATCTGATATATGCACAGCGATACATGAAGAAGAGAAACAAGATGCGTACCAAACCCAAATTCTTGCTCAAGTCGAATACCAATGAAAAGAAGACTTAACATATTGGCAAGTAAATGGAAAACTCCAGCATGTAACCATATACAAGAGATCAGGCGCCATGCCTGGTGTCTATGGACCACTTTATACACTTCTAGAGCACCCATCTTCTCCAATCTGAAGAGAAGAGATAAAAAGGAATTAAACGTATAACTTTGTAAATGCGGCTAAGACCAATTGACACAGATCAAAAGAAGATAGATAAAATTTAAATTCTATTTCAGCAGATACAGGTTTTTAGCAAGCATGCCATAATGTGTTGTTGAACAGCCTGCGCATAAATCAGTGGATAATATCAAAGGACACGGGCCACTGATTATACAAGAAATAACCAAAACAGCATGGTGATGTCATAGGGCTTGCAAAGTGATCCCTTAGAAATAACTGAGAATGATAATCTGGATTTCATGCTATTCTTATTAAAGAAATCGAAATTACATTGAATCTAAGTCCAAGTCTGATAAGTATAACTAACGTGTGACAACAATCAAATAGAGCAAAATAGCAGTTCCCAGTGAAAGCATTCAAAGAGGGTTGAATAGGAGACATAAAAGTGACTTTCTGTATGCATAAAGTATATGGACTTTTAACATATGAAAAGTTAAGAACTTTTGGTGTATAATGAAGAATGAATGAAAGAAAGAATTATTTCTTGTCAACGTGTACTACATGAAACGAAGACTGAAGCAAAATCAAATAAAAATTTTTACCGTACTCTCTAGCAAAAAAGAAAAACATGCGGATTATATTTTACATTCTTATGGTTGGAGAGCTTCATAATCAAAATGACAAGTCCCAAAATTCTCCTACTTCTGCCCTTCTTCCAATCTTTAACTTTCAAAACTGATCAAAGTTTCTTATGTACGGTATTTTACCAGAATGCCAGATTTGAACAGTTCAGAGTTTAAACTGTCTTCTCAAATATCAAATAAGTAACCAAATTGCCATGAACAGATTACAACTGAAAAAGTCTCCAATATCTTCAACTAATATCTTGAATTATACATATTATCTATAGCTCCTTCGGAGCTACATTATTTCCATCCCACTTCTTGTTCCACCAAAAAATGAAAAAGTCCGTGGCGCCTCTGTGATGATTCTCCCTAACTAGTATTTTTGTAACATTAATCTAAAACAACAAAAGTTTAAACACGGATCAAAAAAACATAAAAACGCATTTCAAACAAGCCCAAATCACAACAACAAAATTCCTTCCATTAGCTCAAACTAACTCAATCACCAACCTCCCAAATAAATTTTCCCAATAACCCATTACACCAAACCGCATAAAACATCATATAATACGCATGTGTTATATATATATATATAGAGAGAGAGAGAGAGAGAGAGAGAGAGAGAGGCTTACGTAGAAGAAGAAGGGCCAAGAAGGGGATTTTCTTTGAGGGGCTGAAAAGAAAACCTGCCAGGTGACCCCACGGGAGGGTCACTGTTGTCGCCGCGCCGCGGATGGACCTTAATCTCTACGGTGCTCGCCGGCGCTGGGCGGCCTCTCTCCATCGTGACCGTTGATCTAGAAGAAAATGTTTCTCCGATTAGTGATTTTAAAATCTAATAATTAACTAATCTCCAAAAAACACACATTTTTGGACTCCAATAATCCCATATTGTCTTTATTTTCTTTAGGTGCATGGGAAAATGGAAATCATGGCCTTAATAAAGCTAGTTCTTATTTGTTTATTTTATTATTATTATTATTTTGTTTCTTTCAGTTTTTTTGCTTGGTTTTGGAGGGGAACGTCTTAACTGCTAAAGCGGTTAAATGTTTTTTTTTTTTTTTTTGAGAGCTTAAAAAAAACTTGTTGGTTTCTATTTTAAGTTGTTAGATCTTTACTAAAAATTATTTTATATATTTTTATAATTTGATCTAATAATAATAAAACGATATTATTAATAGGACTGTTTTATTAATTAAACTCTTTTCTTTTATTGGTTATGGGGATTTGTTTTGTTTTGCAAAACAAAGAAACACAGTTCAATAGGTTTTTATTATACTTTGAGAAACATATTGTCTTTTTCAAAAAAAAAAAAGCTTGCTATTATACTTCTTAGACGCTATTATTGTTCTCTTTTACAATTTATTACGAACTTTTTTTTTTTCAACATGCTTATTTATTCTGATGACATTTAGCTACCGATTGGATTTATGTGGCGTGATTAAACATTAGATAATACTAGAGGTTCATTATTTTTTCTTGGAATGAGATTCTAATTAAACTAATATTAATTTGACACTTGAGCAGCTATTATTTCCTTTATTTATTTATGGCTTTTTTAATTAAAAAAACACTCGAGATATTCGGCTTCTATGTTTCGAGGAAAAATAATATTGGGATTTGTTTCTCCCGAGAGAGTAAATGCATAAAAGAGAAATTTGTTCAACTAGTGCAAAATTTCTGCTGGCAATTAGTTGAATTTTTTACAATATTTTCCAACTTCCATGTTGGTGAGGTTAGGAGGCGGTAGTTCACAAAAGAATCCATTTTGTGAAGCACAATCTACATCGTTGCAACCGTTATTTCTTCTTTTTTCCTTTCTTCCGGTTTACGTAAAGAACATAAACGAGCAACATTAGTTAAGAAATCAGGTGGTCACGCCAAAAGAGAAAAGAAAAAAGTAAAAGATATATTTAAAACTAAACAAAAAAAATGCTCTGTTAGTTTACCAATCCATCCCAAAAGCTTAAATTTTTGTGATGGATTGGTAAACTAACATGGTATCAGAGCGGGAGGTCATGAGTTCAAACTCCCGTAATTGCACTCTTTATTCCCATTTAAAATTGTCATCATGTGTTGGGTATTTAATATATCTCGGGCTTTAAATATTCACGTGTTGGGCTTTCCAATTAATTTACCCACACGATTGCCCATTGTCCAGCCCACACGTGAGGGGGAGTGTTAAATATAAAACTACTATTAGTCCACCTCCTAAAAGCTTAAGCTTTTAGGATGGATTGGTAAACTAACATGTCCGAATTCCAACTAAGACATAGTTTATAAATATCTACATTAAGTGGTTAGGTCACTTTTTTTATCACTCTCTTTATCACTTTTTACATTAATTATTTAACACAAAAACTTTACTAACATAATATATTATTATTTAAATAAAAAAATGAGATAATAAATTTTAAGTATCAAACAATAAAAAATAACAAAAATAACAAAAATAAACACGCTAATATTTCTCAAATATTAGCAGAAAAAAAAATAATAATAATAATTGCCCATATAGTCAGGGGGACTTCTGGTAATATGCTTTCCGATAGAGACAGATTAAGGTAATATGCGCAAAAATGACTGTCGAACAACTTTCTTCAAAACTATTATTTAATGCTGGTTAATCTTTTGAGCTAAGCATCTGGATATAAACCTTACAATTTTTTTCTTTTTTTTTACATGACAATTGTCGGAAATTTGTACTTCGATAAGTTCTCAATTATTGAGGTAATAATAAAGGCAGGCCAAGACACAGAAAGCCAAATAAATGTTGCTAACTATTAATAGACAACAAGAGCCTCGAAGACTCCGGTCCACACAATTGTTAACCATCAATCCATCATTATTTTATAAACAATGATTTAAAACACGGTCCTAGTACTTGAATGTCTGCAGGCTTTGGTTAAAAACAATGATTTAATCAACCCGTTTAGTTTATTAATTTAAAATTTTAATTTAAATTGAGATGTAATTTTATGTGATAATTTTTTATTATAGTAAAAAAATTAAATATGATTGTTTTTAAAAAAATTTTACTGTAACAAAACTCGAATCAGTAAAATAAATGAGACTATAGATTATTTTCATTTTCATTTTAATTATTTACTGGAAATTTCTATTGAAATTGTTGTTACTATATACAAAGGTGACAGGACATTAAATTATTGACAATAAGTCAATTATTATCATGCTGAAAATTTTAGGTTTATAATTAAGTTATACTTCCACATTCATTTTGGATATCCCTTGTAATTCTCCTTTGGAGCAAGTTTTGCTCCTTCGTAAAAAAGTTTGATTAACTTAGACACCTTACAGATTTTATGCCTTTTCCCGTTAGAAAGTTTGCTTTGTCGATAAAGAGAGGAAAGGAATTTTGAGATATTCTTCTGCTTCTTCTTTTTTTTTTTTTTTTTTTTTTTTTATTTTTTTTTTCATATGCTTCTATAATGTAGTTTTTAACGTTTAATATTGATTTAATTTATGGTAAACTTTGTTCGGTAATACTTACAGAATAGCACGTGCTATAATCTTCTCCTTCTAAAATTTGGCAAAATACTATTTAACATTTATATCTATCATGTGACAACAAAGAAAAATAAAATAAAAAAAAGACCCGTTACAATGATCGAAGCTCGTCGATGAGCTTCATAATGATCCTCATTGTGACTTTGCAAAGATCAAGCTTTCGCATGTCATCGCTAGTAGTGACTAATAGACATTCGTGACGAGGAGTCATCGTCCTTGTCTCACAGCTCCTAACATCCTCATAATGGGAGACTTTCATGACGCTATCTCCATCTTTTTTTCTCTTTAAAAAAAAAAGAAAAAAAGAAATAGGGCTTCCTCTAATGGAGCGCTGAATTCTAGGGCAACTTGTTTAGTTGTCGCTTTTTTTAACAAAAAATATCTTCTACACTCCTATTTCTTCTTATTTAATTGGCCTAAACTTAGTAAAAATAAGAATAAGATTTATTGATATTGTATTTGAAGGAATAAAATGTATTGATATTTGAATACAAATATAATAGATCTCCCTCTCTCTTAAATGAAAAAAGTTACACGTGTTCACCGGAGCTCCGGCACCGTCTCCGGGCGCGTAGTTAGGCTCCCGGCCTTAGTTTTTGGTCTTCCGACTCATCTCTTTTGTGGGCTTTATGATGATAGGGGTGGAGTACGACACTCTGTTTGGGGCGGATCTAAAACTGGCAAGAGCTTGAACTCACATAGATGGGATGCGTTTTACGGCGCGTTTGTTGATGGATGGCTGAGATCTCTAGGGTTTTTCTTCTTCAGGGTGGTGGACTTCTTAGGACGGTGGTGGTGCTCCTGCTGTCAACGTTTGGTGGAGCTTTCTTGGCGACGTTTAAAGGTAGTTTTTTGGACTTCGTTACGTGCCTCTCGAAGCCAGCTGTCCTCATTGACAGTTCCTATGCGGGCTACCCCTTCGCCGGAGGCTTTCGACGACAGTGTCTGAAGATTTTTCTTTTTGTTTTCTTATTCTAGTTTGTATGTAATAACGAGGTGTTACTCTTTGCTCGGGCTTGTTTTCTACTGCTAGAGGGTTCTCTATACCTTGTGTGTCTCCTCGTTATTTGGGACTTTGTCTTAGTCGACTGGCTCGGTCCATTGACTGTTTTGGTCTCTAACGAGCTATGGTATGGCTCGAATTATCTGTGTTAAGCGAGTTTGTGCCCATTTAACTTGACACTTATTTTCATTCTTATGTTATTTATGTCTTCAATGATTGATCAAATCAGTAGTCCCAAGTCGAATTTCCTTGTAACTAGGGTTGTTTGTCACTTGTATTTGTATTTCTTTTCCAATTAATAAAATTCTCCCCTTTGTCAAAAAAGAATACAAATATAAATTTTACTTTCTCTAGACATATTTTCCTACTTTTGGACCATTTAAATAAAAAAAGGAAAAGGGTTAAAAAAGTAATTTAATGTCATAAAAGATATTTGCATGGTAGGGTTAAACCTTTTTTAAAACATCAAACTACCATTTTAATATTATAAAAAAATATACAGTGTCAAAATGATTTTTTTCGAAACACATAAAATACCAAAATAAAAACTTTCAACTAAAGTATAGGATTTTAAAACATCAAACTACCATTTTAATATTATAAAAAATACAAAATATCAAAATGATTTTTTTCAAAACACATAAAATACCAAAATAATTTTTCAACTAAAGTATAGGATTTATATGATTTAATGTTGAGGAAGGACCATTACAAGTCAAACTTTGTGCAGCCTTCTCATGGGCGATATAATTTAGAAAGCTTTCAAGATTCAAACAATACCTTTATATTGCCTTTCCATCTATTGATTTCAATTTCTTGAAGTTGAATACTATCTCAGAAATATTATCACATACTTAAAATTTCTCATAATCTACTTCTAAGTAAAAAAAAAATGTTTTATCAATTATGCAAACGAAATAATTTAAGTCTAAAACATCCTTCAACTAATATTGTATTTATTATTTTCACATTTCCACTTTACTTTTTTTTTTCTTTTTACAAAATACACGCCCTTTCTTATGAAATTTGTTGATGTTATCGTCTCATTTGTAATTTATAGTTGAAATATAACAAACACGTATTCATTTTTCTCATTTTTATCAAAATAAAAAAGGCCTTTTAATTAATGAAAAGACCTTTTCATTTATAATTTGGGCGCTTTGGCTCAACTTGGGGCCTTAGGCAATTGCCTAAGTTGCCTTATGGTTGAGCCGGCCTGCTAATTAGATAATTGCATAAAGAAACTCGCACACACTTTTAAATAAAATTATTCAAATTAGTAAGCATGTTGTTGGCCATTTCTCTATATTCGTTGCCCTGTAAAGTGTAAATATAAAACACATGGGATGCGTTTAGAAAACGAAAACGTTTTCATTTTTATTTTGGAATCATTTTTAAAAATGCGTTTGATGGTTTTATTCTAAAATTGTTTTCAGTTTAAAAAAAAAAACTGAAATTATGTTTGGTGGTTTAATTTTTAAAAACATGTAATAATATTTAAAATAATAATATATTAAATAAATATTATATACATGAAAACTA